ATTATTTTTATGCTATCACCGAGCTAGGTAGGGAATATGCATATTTATAAGTGAAGTAGAAAAATTTGGTCGAGTAAGTTATGCATGATGTGGATAATTACTAAAATGCCCATAAGTCGAGATTTTGAGTCATATGTTATTTTATGTGCTCATTGTGGAGCTATAATGCAGGATGGTTATTGTTATTTGTGCTTTGAGTGATTGATGATGTTATCTCCTCATTGAGCTTGTATGTTTAGCTTCAGGTGATCGATTGTGTGTTCTTCCTATAGAGTGTGTTTATCTGCACAGAGCTAGAACTAGGGCTCTAGAGTTAGGTTGGCTAGACAATGACCTAGGTTAGGACACCTCCAATAGATTGAGCACTTTAGGATTGTAAGTAGCGGCCAAAGGGTCTAAACCCTAGTACTCCTAGACTAAGAAAGACTCGAGGAGTCAAATTCAGGTACCTTAGAGTCCAAAGTTTGCGTTAAGCCACCCACCCACCTTTGGAATCCAATAGACCTCCTCGTTACTAAGAGATGACTAAGGTGATGATTAAAATTTTTATGTCTCGTGCTTTAGGTAATCGATAGGAATATCTCCTTAACAAGCATGCATGAGCCAACCAAGTTAGGCTTAGGGTCCTGCAGCTCGAGCAATTTACATGTAGACCTAGGTTAGTACGTTTCTAGTAGACATTGCACCCCAAGATCGTGAGCAACGATCAAGGATCTACACCTGTGTGCACCCAGAAAATGGATTAGTGCGAGGAATTGGCCCTAAACATCCAATGAAACAAGAGACGAATTTAAATCGTCTAGATGCCCTTAAGGACCTAGTAGACCTCTACGACATCCAAGAAGGACAAAGGTAGCTCTCTTAGTCATTAGCAGGATGTACGGTGTCATCAGACCCTTTGCTAATAGATCTCCACGGTGTTAGATGTCTAATGGTGCCATCAGAATCTCCGATACAATTTTCACTCTTATACTAATACTATCGAGCTAGGCCTAGACCGGTTAGGATAGTGCACAAGGTGACTTCACCCAACCTTGTGGAAGTGACAAAGTAGTAAACTTGCCTTGAGAGGGGGTGGAAACACACAGGTTGAGCTAGCTGGCCGAGTGTCACACCCCCAAACTAGGGTGACTTTATGGTTTTGTGAAAAGGTTCGCTAGCAAATCATCCATCATCCATAGATGATATGTAGGCTAGCTAGCAATCACCTTAGTGTCCTACTTGCGTGTGCTTGCATATATCTTTTTGAATTAGATGTAATTATATAACACTCTACAACAATGATCCTCCATTTTAAGGTTAAATATATCCACCATTACTGTCATTACTATTTCAACATACTCTTAATCATTACATATATGAACTTGAGTAGTGATTAATTTTGACAAATGATCTGTCTTTAAAACTCCATTTTTGATATAATTTTGAAGCTTTCCATTTAGGATGATATGCATACATACCAAGGCAGCTCCTGTTCTTCCATAGATGCAGAAATAGAATTTGCAGCTTTCCTCTCTCCCGTAGATATATATACTACAATCATATGCTCTACAAACTTGCTAAATAGGATGATTAGATATCTTATGTTAATATTTTTAAATTATTTATTTGGAGATATACAAATGAGAGTACCCTATGTCATGAATTTGTATAAGAATGAACTACGACTTTGTTCACTTTTTTAAAATTCGTTAATTGATAAAATAAATATTTTATTGGACAACTATATACTACTCAATGCTAATCCATCTTAATTTAGTTTTACTTTTTTTATAATAATTTTGTTATTAATTAATAATAGTTTTTGTGTTTTGAAGATTTCATATGATTTCAACCTTCTAATCACTCAAATCAAAATAAACTAAACATAATTTTGAGAGTTAACATCACGGACTAATCAAATCTAACACATGACATCGGCCATAGGTGGGCTTTGGGGTGTTTTAAAATAAAAGATAGAAATAGTAAGCATGAAATAGTTTATTATGGTTCAACATGAAAAAAATATCAATTTGCATGAATCGAGCCTAATTGTACATTTACTTGAGCTATTTGATAAAATTCTAAAACATTTATTTTGAACATGATACTGAAAATTTTAATCCACATCAGCAATCCAAGTGGATCATTCACTACCTAATTAAGAGCATCCTAGGAGAACAAATTATCCTTTCTCAGCCCATGGGAAGAAACACACACGATAAAAGGAAAAGGTGACCTAAAAAGAGGGGAGAGCACATTTGGGAAGAAAAATTGAAATAGGCATTAGAGGACTCTACTGCTGTGAAACCATAGAGGAAGAAGGAGAAGAACCCTAATCTAGTTGTTGTTGACCGCAGAAGGAAAAGAAGACCAAGAATGATAGATTAGGGCGAAGAGGTGGACGTGAGAGCTCAATGTAAGAGAACTTCCATGGAATAACAACAACAAAGCTGGATAAATCTCTAGTTCCTTACTTTCTTTTCTTATTCTATCCGTTTAATATTGGTAGGGAGACCTAAACTTTAAGTATGTTGTTGGTGTGATTTTAGTTTATTAAAGAGTTGTTGTTAATGATTTACATGTTTCTTTCTTCTCTTATTCGAAAGAAGAAAGGTAGTAATGAAATTCTCTTTAAATACTCTAGTTCCATTGCAAGGATAGAAAGGTTAGAAATAATTATTTTACGAGAGTCTTGTTAATAGAAATTAAAAAAGATTATGAAATTAATCACTATGTATGTTTGTGTTGATTTCTCGTTATTTTCTATTTTTCGAATTTTGTTTAATTAGTTTACCATCATAAACACCCATTTAAATAATACCCAAAAACTCAATTAATTTCCAACCATAGAAGTAACTAAAAGGATAGGTTTGATGTGGAATCAAAAATTTATTTATTACTTGTGATAGTGTATACTTGTACTTGTTATTTTTTTTTTTTTTAATTTTACATCATTTTATTATATACATCAACGACAGATTAGCGACATAGTCTCAACTCACATCTAGGGCTTCATGCGTTCCTTGTGACACAGTCTAAAAACCTATGCTCAAGCCTTCATGCGTTCTAAGTGGCATAGTCTGAATACCTAAGCTCAAGGCTTCTTACGCTCCAAGCAGCGTAATCTGAAAACCTACATCTAAAGCTTCTTACATTTCAAGTGATATAGAATGATCCTGCATCCCAGATTTCATGTGTTCCCTGCGATACAGTCTGGCTACATATGCCCAAGACTTTACAGTTCCAAGTGACATATTCGGAAGGCCTACGCTCAAGGCTTCATATGTTCCAAGCAGTGTAATCTAAAACAAGCTTCCAAAGTTTTTTTACGTTCCAAACGATGTAGTCTAAGTACTGAACATGCTGTACTGTGAGAGGTCTTAGAACTTTCTTAAGTTTCAAAGTTTGAGGACCTTGGTCCTTTATTCTTGAGTGGTACTTAGCATTCTGTTTATCTTGAAAGTTATAGAGCTTGTTTAGTATTTTTCTTGGTTCTCAACCTTAAACACTTTATAATTTCTAAGGTTAGTAATTTTTTTGAAGCATAAGTTGTATCATGCATTCTTAAGCTCTACATAACTTAGTAACATGCCTGAGTCATTCAAAATGCCATGAAGTCATAATATATTCTTTAGACAATTCTAGAAGAGTCTGGGTTCTTCGGTAAGAGTTACTTGAGGTATTTTCTCAAGCAACAGACCATTACGCAGTGACGTGAAAAAAACAATAAAAATACATAAAATTTAAAACATTTAAACACATGCATGCAATTTGAAATTTAATTAAAATAGTAATGAAAATTTTACTTTTATAGAGAGGCAAGAAGAGATCACTAAAATATATCAATACGAAATGAAACGATTTAGAATACATGAAATGTAGGATTTAAAGGTAAAGTACAAAGAGGACTACAGACTCAAATGTGGTGGGACTCTCTATAGCCAACCACCCATGTGCGTCTCCATCTCGACCGCTACGTCAAACTTCACCTGAAAAGAAAGTTGAAGTAGTAGGAATGAGTATATTAAATATACTCAATAAGTAGCTTGCTGGTAGTTCATATTTCGTTGTTATATTTTATTGGTCTTGTTCATCGTTCGGTATCTTATTCTCTTTTGGGAATTTGTTCTCCTCGTGTAGGCTCTTTCTAGGCCTTAGGTTTTCTCTTTCTACTTTCTCTTGGTTCTTGGTCCTATCTGGACCTCTAGCTCTCGGAATATTCTTGAGTTCTCTAGGTCTCCTGGTTAGTGATTTCTACTAGTCTCTCATCACCATCATCATATCTCAAAGCCCTCAAGGCGCGACCTCAGTACTCAGGGTTCATGCATTCTAGGAATCGACCAACTCTCAAGTGTACTACTGTAGACCCCAGCCACTCGTGACATGTTCACTTAAAGAAAACTAACTAGCAAACTTCCTATAAGTCCAGCAAAGTACCATCAACAATAAAATTGTCAGTTCTATAGTTATGCGAACACCTGATAATCGAGTCAGGTTTACGATTAGAGGTTAGTTGGTGAACCCCTATCGTTCCCGGATAACTGCTAACTCATATGCATGAACAATAAATCTCAACTAACTCTAATGTACCAACGTGGACCCCTATCACTCGTGATAGGTTCACTAATAGAAAATTAATTGGCAAACTTCCTGTAAGTTCCCACAAGGTAACCATCAACAATAAAATGGTCAGTTCTATAGTTACGCAAACCTATGACAATCGAGTCAAGTTTGTGATTAGGGGTTAGTTGGCGAACCCCTAATCATCCCTGGATAACTGCTACTTCATATGCAAGAGCAATAAATCTCGACCAACTCTAATATACCAACATGGACCCCTGTCACTCGTGACAGGTTCACTAATAGAAAATTAACAAACTTCGTATAAGTCCCCACAAGGTACCATCAACAATAAAATGATCAATTGTATAGTTGTGCAGACCCCTGACAATCGAGTTAGGTTAACGATTAAGGGTTAGTTGGCAAACCCCTAATCGTCCCCGAATAACCGTTAATACTGTAACATATGTGACGGAGGCATAACATAATGATCTAATCATGAGAAAGCTAGTCATGAATCTCGATTCATAAGGTAGTGCGTACGCGTTTCAGTAAACATACATAAACACATTCAACATGTGTCATCTCTAACACATTCTATGCTCAAACTTCTAAAACATACTTCTCATATCACACTTTCATGCATACTATGAGCATAGCTAAATTCAAGGTTCCGAGGTTCCACTTACCTGGAAAGCGTGACACTTTTTGTTCAGATTTACGTCTATGGAGGGTTCCAAAATTTGCCAAACTCCTCGGGCGATGTGGACTTGCAACGAGTTCTTCCAACGGTTGGTCTCCGAGAGTTGGTGAGCTCCTCCTCCATAATTAAACATCGTGGAGTAGAATTGAAAATGACTCAATAAAATAAAATGGTATGTATGGTAAATTCTGTATTTTCTTTAAACTCTTTCCTTCTACAATTCACCGGGTCCTGCCGTAAGCCTATAGCCCAAAACATGTCCATCCAGTTTATCAACAATGCCTTAGCCCAATTTTTCCTTGCCAGCCCAGTTTAATGGCCCAGAAACTTTGCCCTAAATTCAGTACCCTTCCTCTCCCTCGAATTACCAATATTATTCTCCTACTCGGGCTTTCAAATAACGTCTTACCGCCATTTCAACAATCTCTTGTTCGCCTCTGCAGAATCTCTAGCTCTTTCCAACTTCGTTTTGAGGATATGGTCAGTGGATCTCTTTATCAACTCTTCTCTTTTCTCCTTTGGTTGATGTCTTCATTGTCCTTTAAGATGTTCTATATTGTTGTTTCCAACTTCATTTGGATTTTTTTTTTTTTTTTTCCTTCTGTAATATGAGATTTGTGAGCCCACTCATTTGTTCGTTCTGGATTTGTGAAGTGTATCGTTATAAGAGTGATGCTTACTGTGAGGTATACCCTGTGAAATGGCCACAGCAAAGGCCTCGGCTAATTCATCCATGATACACCAATCCTCCACTCAACTTCTTTTGGGTCTGATTTCTTTTTCATATCGGAATTATGTGTCCTAGAGAGTGTTTTGAGTTTGGTTCTGGAGCCGTCCATCATAAAATTTAATCGTGTTGTGTCAAAGGCTGTGACTGAAAAAAGGCATGGAAGCTGTTTAGTATAAAAAAATTACTATTAGTTTGGTCGTCCTACAATCCCAGAAATATGCACAGCATAATAGTTTCTGCAAGATGTTCATCCACATATTTTTGTTTACATCATTTTCTTATTCAAAATTGATAACTTCGCCATGAAATTAATGTCGGCTTTGATAGGCAAGAGGATTGAAGAAGCATTTGAAGAGGCTCAATGCTCCAAAGCATTGGATGCTCGACAAACTCGGTGGTGCATTTGTGAGTGAAATTTCAAGTTTCCATTTCAGTTTACATTTTTTTTTTTTTTTTTGGGGACAAACTTATTGATGACATTTAGTTCTACCTTTTTAATTCCTTTGTAGGCCCCCAAACCTTCATCTGGACCTCACAAATCAAGGGAATGTCTCCCACTGATTTTGATATTGCGTAACAGATTGAAATATGCTCTCACATACCGTGAGGTAATTTCAATTTTGATGCAACGACATGTTTTAGTTGATGGGAAGGTGAGGACAGACAAGACGTACCCTGCTGGGTTCATGGGTATGCTTATCTCAAACTTCGCATGCATACTATTATTTCAGTTTCAATACTTATTCACCATTTTTCATAAGTCCCACAAATGCACATATCTTTCTAGGCAAATTACTATTCAAACGAGATACATAACAGTTCCCTGATAATAGAATGTGTTCCAATGACTTGATTGTCTGCTCTTATCTAAATCATTCTCTTAACCATGGTAGTGCTTTCATCCAATGTCTCTTAATTGCTTAATATGCAATCCATTCATTATTTTTTTTATGTACATTTCAAGCATGATGCTTTTGTTTTTTTAGATGTTGTGTCGATTCCCAAAACAAATGAGAATTTCCGGCTTCTCTACGACACAAAAGGTCGATTCCGTCTTCACTCAGTCAGGGATGAAGAGGCTAAGGTTAGCTTTTGTTCTTTCATGACGAAGTTTGATATGTTTGTTACGACAATTCCTGTTGTATAGATTGTATACTGTCAGGATTCAGAGGAAATTAGATGCAATTGCAATCAGAGGTCTTACAACTTGTCCAGACAGAAAATATCATATTTTTAAAACCATTGTGCATTTTTTAGATGCTGTTTTTCACCTTGATTATTATCATGTGAGGTTCATGAAGGCAAATTAATTTCCGAATCCTCTGAAGTAATAAGTTTGTCTGTTGTCCATGATATATGGAATGGGATGATTCGTGATGACCGATTGATTTTGCAGTTTAAGCTGTGCAAAATCCGATCAGTGCAGTTTGGGCAGAAGGGAATTCCTTATCTGAACACTTACGATGGACGAACAATCCGATATCCCGACCCCCTGATCAAGGCAAACGACACCATCAAGCTAGACCTCGACTCGAACAAGATTGCTGATTTCATCAAGTTCGATGTGGGAAACGTTGTGATGGTGACTGGTGGAAGAAATAGAGGACGAGTTGGAGTAATTAAAAACAGGGAGAAGCACAAGGGAAGCTTTGAGACAATTCACATTCAGGATGCTACCGGGCATGAATTTGCAACTCGGCTGGGCAATGTGTTTACGATTGGGAAGGGGACAAAGCCATGGGTGTCCCTTCCCAAGGGCAAGGGTATAAAACTATCCATCATTGAAGAAGCCAGGAAGAGGCTTGCCAACCAAGCAGCCGTTACGGTTTAAGAGTTGAGTATTGTAGTCATGATTCTAAGACCATTTTTGTTTAATATTTGGTGTTCTAATATGATGATAAATTAGATGTTGAGACTATTTCTGTTGCTTCTATAATTTTTTGATACAACACTGTTCCAATGACTCCATTTTTTTTTTTTGAATATGGAGATGGAAATATTAGCATCTATTAGGAATCTATAATTAACATTTGACCAAAGCTGTTAAATTTTATAAGATTTAAGTTTTAAATTTTACATATCGACCATTATTGATCATAGGTTGTTACGCCTAGCTTCCTCTTCCTCTATGTTTGTTCACTCGTCTCCATCAAGGATTACTAGGTATTCTCTACTAACCTTAGCTCATATGGGAATATACTTTTAAAAATGACATTGTAAATAGCATAAATTTCAAAAAATTTAAAGCAACTTCTGGAAATATAGTCATGGTCTTATGTGTTTGGTCTTATGTGTTTCATACAAAATACTGAAATTTAAACTAAAAACAAATATGAAATAATTAAAACATATGAAATGAGACAACTTATTCTATACTAAGCATCTATCCTATATACGTGTCATGGTATTTGCTTGTGATGCCACGACCTGAGAATACTCAGTAAGTGACCCACTATAGGGGGTCATGCTAAAATGCAAACCCATGCAATCATGCTCTAGGGACCTATCTGTATTTACTACAAGGGTGGCCTCTAGTCCGGACTAACTATGGATGTGCAATACTTTCCTATACATGACCTACACGTGCGAGTGGGAATCTCCAAGCAGTTCGCACCCCCCTGGATCCATCATCGTCGAGCTAGCTGTCTGCAACGACGTTCAGAGGTCAGCAGATCCCTGTGTGTCATGATCAACATGATCATCGTCATCATCATAACGTGCGTGTCCACACTCATCATCATAAATGGGAAGTATCATGATGCTTATGTACACACAACATGCATGAAATCCCTTTATTTCTCATTTTAAAACATCCTTATGACACAACCATAGTCTCATCTCTATATTACATTTAATAATACATTCTCATTATTCATCATCATATTAAGGTAAACGTCATGCATCATAAACATCATAATCATCGTAATTTCATCCAATGCATCAAGTACATCAAGTACATCATACATCATCATATAACTCACGTACGTCATCACACTTCATTATACATCATAGTTCATGCATCATCACATAATTCACGTACGACATCATACGTCACAACTCATACACCATACATCATATAATTCATAGACGTCACATGATTCTGTTTTCTCTCTCCTTCCCACGACTATTTTCGACGTTCTCCTCCTCAATCCCTCGGTTAGACCTCCTACTCCTCTTCCACGAAGTTTGGTGGCTTGTAAGTGCCTAAGATGATAGATCTACAAGGTTCTCAAAGGCTCGGACTTTCAATCACTTTTTTCGACGACGATTCGTTTAGGAAGGTCACAAAACGCATCGAAGATGGCTATAGGGTCGTCGAGGATGGCTATAGTGATTTATAAATATAGAAGAGTTCTCTCGAGGACAATGAGCGCTCTTGTAAAGGAACTTTGGCAAAATTATGAATCCAAACTACATATTTCTACTTTCTTTCTTCTCTTAAAAACCCTAAAACCTCTTGTTCTTTCCCCTTTTTTCTTTTCATTCTTTCTTTCCTTCCTCATTATAATTATTAGCCAAATCCCTAATTAGAAATGGTGGGTCAAAAGGACCAATTTACCCTTCGGGTAGATTTGGAATATTTCTAATCGTTTTTTTTCTTCTATTATCATCTCAAAACTCTTGATGGTCAATAAAATTCTAAAAGTTTTTACTTTAAAAAGAAAAAAAAAATATTTTTCAGGTTTACTATAAGCTAGCAAGGAGACTCAATATTAATTTGAACCCTTTAAATATTTTTTTGTTTAGTATTACTATGAGCTAACAAGGAGACGAACCTACAAATTATAAGTTTCAACGATACAAAATTAACTAATTAATCCATTTTCATTCATGATAGGTTACTCCACTATAAACCTAAAGTTCTACTCTTATACACGACATGAAAAGTTATATTCATTGATATAATCATTACAAACAAGTCAATCTTTTACGGGTTGTTTTCGTTTTATTCACATTAGTAGTTTGTACTAATTTCGACTCTATAAGTTGTTGTGTACGCCTGAATATTGGTGTCTAACACTTATGCCTATATAAAACCTCAAACGGTGGCATCTAGATAGTCGTTTGGTAGTTGTTATTATTGGCAAACTCCATAAGAGACAAGTTCTCATAGCAACAACATGCGAAATCCATTACACAAACCTTCAACATGTCATCTAGGATTTGATTCAACCTTTTGGCTTTTCCATCTATCTGGGGATGGAAAGCCATACTAAACCAGAATTGCATACCCAACACTTTTTGTAGACCCTTCCAGGAATGCTAGGTCAACCTTGTATCTCAGTCTAACACAATGAAAATTGACTCATCGTGAAGACAAACTATCTCTCTAATATATGATGAGCCTACTTATCTACACGATATGTGGCCTTACTAGGAATAAAGTGAGCTATATTGGTAAGCCTATCCACAACAACCTAGATAATGTTAAAGCCCTTTTTGGTCCTTGACAAATATGTGATAAATTCATCCTTATTTTCTCTCACTTCTATTAAGGTATGTTTAGTGGTTGTAACACTCTACAAATCATTGGTTTGAGGCTTTCATCTGCTGATAGATCAAATATCGACTCATGTACTCTTCTTTATTCTCTGCCAACCATAATTGCCCTTCAAGTTTTGGTACATTTTTGTACTTCTAAGGTGGAAGGTATAAAATGTATCGTGGGCTTCAATCAAGATTTCCTTCAGTATCTCCTCATTCTTTGGCACACACAAATAGTCTTGCCCCATTAACTCACCATTTCATGAAAATGGAAAATCCAAATGGTGCCTTAGGCTCATGCTATTCTCAGACCTTGTTGAGGTACGTATCTACTTTCTAAGCATCGACAATACACTTACGGAGGGTGGGTTGGATTGTTAATTGTGCTAACCATGTGGTGATGTCTCTTACCACAACCTCGATTCTACTCCTCTAATTCTCTCTGCTTGGTGATCAGTATTGAAGTGTGAGCCATTTTCTGCTTACTTCATCTACCACAACATTAGCTTTTGAAGGGTAGTAGATGATCTCGATGTGATAGTCTTTCACTAGCTCCAACCACCTTCTCTGTGTCATATTCAACTTCTTATATGTGAATAGATACTTGAGGCTCTTGGGATCAATGTACACCTGTACCTTTTCTCCATATAGGTTATGTCGTCATGTCTTCAACACAAACACCATGTCTTCAAGCTCAAGATTTTGTGTGGGACAGTTGGAGTTGGACTCCTTAAGTTGTCTGAAGGCATAGGCTATTACTTTACGTTTTTGCATAAGTACGTACCCAGTCCCTTTCTCGAGGCGTCATTGTATACCACGAGATTGTATGTTTCATTCGGTACTTAGAGGACTAGTGTCACCACAAACCGTTCTTTTAGCTCTTGAAAACTCTGCTCACATGCTGGAATCTAGACAAAGAACTCCTGAATGAACCTTCAGTAATAACCAACTCCAGAAAACTTCGCACTTCAAATACTCTGGATAGCCTTGGTCATTTCATTATTACTTCTATCTTAGCTATATCTACATTGATTCCTTTACTAGATAACACGTGACTTAGAAAAGCCACTTCACGCAACTAGAACTTGCACTTAGAAAATTTGGCCTACAGTTGATGAACTCTCAAAACTGGCATAACAACATTCCTTAGGTGTTTCTCATGCTATGCCTCTATCCTAGAGTAACTAAGATGACATCGATAAACATGATAACGAAAGTGTCCAAAACTCCTCCCCACAAAAGAAACATCCAACCCTGAAAATGCCCACTAAAAACATTATGCTCAATAGTTCCATGAATATTGCGTAGACATTGGTAACATGACTATGAATTCAGAGAGTCCATAGCGGCTCCTGAAGCCCATCTTGGGTATTTTCTCCTCTCTGATCCTAACCTAACCTCAAATTGATCTTAGAGAACACCGTTGCACCCTACAAATGGTCAAACAGATCATCTAGCCGAAAGAGGGATACTTATTCTGGATAGTAACCTTATTCAACTCCATGTAATCTATACACAACCGTAGGGATCCATCTTTTTTATTTATGAACAACACAAGAGCTCTCCATGGCGGAACAATAGGTCGAATGAAGCCTTATCCAAAAGCTCTGGTAATTGATCCTTCAATTCCTTTAGTTTTGTGGGTGGCATTCTATAAGGTGTTTTGGAGACCGACACAATTCGTTGTTCTAGGTCGACTCCCAAAGTTGACTTCTCTGATTGAGGTCTATTAGCTTGTCTTTCAATGCTGTAATTACTCTTGGGGTGTCCTGGGAAGCAACCTCCTTATACACTAGGGTTTTACTTAAGAAGAGTTTGAAGTTCACGAAGCCGACTTCACAATCTATTAGGGCATGGTTCTCACCTAGACTATCCATCCCTAAAATGACATCAAAGTTTTGCATGTATAGAACAATTAAAGTATCATCCATAACTCATCTGACACTGTCACATTACCTGCCTTAACTGTGTGGGTAGCCACCAATAACTTGTCCTCAGGTTTGGATATTGTAAGGGTGTTCTATATTGTTTTAGATCTAAGTGTGTGCTCAAAAAATCCTCTCAGAGATGGAGTTATGGAATTAGAGTCAAATACTGTAAAAGCTAACTGACCAAAGATGGAAGGTGTCTTGTCACAATTGTTTTCTTCTCGTCGATCCTCTTGGTCATGATCACATGGGCTACAACGCGCTTCTGTTGCTGTTGACCTCCTCGACCTCCCTAATTCTGCCCTGTGGGTTGGTTAGCCTTCGGCTCCTTCTTATGTGGACAGTCAGCTACACAGTAGCCAGACTTGCAACATTCGGGTTGGTTAGCCTTCGACTCTTTCTCCCGTTGTTGTCCCACATAACTCTCTCTCATGGTTATAGTTGCACTCAGCTATCCACCGTTGATATTTATGCTTAAAGCCTCATAATTAATTATTTAGTTTTAACAATAATTTTTATTATTTTATTTGTAATTTAATTGTTATCCATTGGATGAAAATCTAAGGTTATTAACGTAATCTTGAACAGTATGTGGTTGACATAAAAGAGAATCGTGTGCAAGTAATAACCTAAAGAGTCTATAGTACATAGATAAGGTTGGGTGCCTTATCCTGATAACACTATTGATACGATCCACTTTGTAACGTTACAAATGATTTGATCCAAATCGTTTATGTGGAGACATGTAAGTGGGAGTATCCTATATAATGAATTTGTATGACACTGGACCAAGAAATATTTAATCTCTTTTTATAAATCCGTTAATTGAGAAAATTAATATTTCACATGATGATATATGCGACTCGATCTTAATCGTGAGTGAGTTATGAACTCTTACCTGTGAGGGCTTATCCTTTAATTTACATGAGTGAGAATGAATTTTTTAGTTGATTCAATATGCCTACTATTTTGTAAGCTTGACCAAATAGGGAGTTGGAAACATAATATCATCTAAGAATTCACTCCTTTCCATATAAGGAAAGTAGATGAGTTGTTCTCTTAAGTAATGATTTCGGGACTTGAACAATGGGTCTCACCCTCTCATTGGCACAAGAGGGACTTGGTTTATGATTGGATCATAGACAAATTCTTCATTAAAGAATAAGTGATAGGTGAAAAATGTAATTATAGGGGTAAAATGGACTTTTGACCCAATTATAATTATGAACAACTCGTGAAAGATCGATTTGCTTATAATGATTATATCAATGAACATAACTTGTCCGATAGTGCATAAGAGTGCAACTCTAGGTCTATAGTGGAGTGGCCTATAATTAATGAATGAAAATTGATTAATTAAAGAGTTTAATTAATTAATTTTGTATGATTGGAGATTATAATCTGTAGGTTCATAAGGTCCCCTTACTAGCTCATAGTAATGCTAAAAGGTTCAATTTATTTGAAAGAAAATTTGAGGTGTTCAAATTCATATTTAAATATAAAGGAGAAAATAAATTTAATTTAAAATGTCAAATTAATATTTGATATATTAGATATATTAAATAAATAAAGAAAATACATTTAATTGAAGGGTTCAAATTAATATTTAATATATTAGATAGGTTAAATATAAAGGGAGAAAATATATTAATTTGAAGGGTTTAAATTAAT